AATTCCTAAGCCAAGTATTAAGGGTTAAAACCTCTTAACCCACAGAGAAAGCAGTGAGAATGTAATAGAATTTATTTAGGTCTGTCCTTCACTTACTAGAAAATTATAGCATGTTTGACAAATAGAGAGATAGCATCCTCTAAAACTTAACTGATTGGAAAAGAAAGTCAGGTGGTAAGAGGGGGAGAAAAAAATCAGTCATGGTCTAAAATTCAGTTGGCAAGAAGCCTTAGAAAGCACAATTTTATCTTCCAGAGTGGTGACACTAGTGTAACTGAATAAACACATGCTAAACTCCTACTGAGCTGCACAACTCTTATTGAGGGGGGGAGAATTCTAACAAGGCAAATAAGGGTTCCTTGCTTGCCTTGGGTTCAAATCATCAGGCTCAGCTAAACTACATGGCTTCTGAAAGGACTGGCAGGTGTGACTGCCCACCACTGTCAGAGATCTTTGAAAGATTGTGGTGGGCAGGAAAGCACTACTGGATGAGAAAATCAGAGATGTCTCAATTTAAAAAAAAAAAAGGAAAACACTAGAACTACTAACTATAGGCCAATTAGCTTGACTTTGGTACCTGGCAAAATTCTAGAATATATCATTTAAAGGGATATTTAATTAACATTTTGAAATGGAAATGGTGATCATAAAGAGCCAACTTGGCTTCAAGAACAAGGCATGCTGGACTAACCTCGTTTCCCTTTTTAACAGTTGACTAGACTAGCCAAGCAGGTGTATGATTTTAGCAAAACATTTAACAAAGTCTTTCATTCTACTCTTACACACAAAAAATGTAGAGATGTGAGCTAGACAATAGTGCAGTTATGTGGATTTGAACTGGTTGAATGGCTGGACCCAAAAGTAGTTTTTAATTTTTCAATGTCAGTTTGGAAGGAGATACCCAATGAAGTGCCCCAGGGATCAATGATTAGTGCTATGCTGTTTAACATTTTCATCCAATGACTCAAATGAAGGCACAGATGGTATGCTTATCAAATTCACAGATGGTACAAAGTTAAGAAAGCTCACTAACAAGTTTAATAACATTGTCAGTATCCAACACTGGACTAAAAAGAATAAGGTTAAATTTAATAGGAATAAATGCAAAGTCATATATTTGTGTTCCAAGGTCTGCTCCATAAGTACAAGATAGGAGAAGTGTGGCTAGACAGCAGTTTATCTAAAAAATCATGACAGTCCAAAAAAAAGTTAATATGATGATATTATATTATATATTATATATAATGCATTAAGAGAGACGTAGTATCCAGAACTATGGTGGCGACTGTTATCTGTCCTTTGCCTTGTCAGATTACATGAGGAGTACCGTGTTCAGTTCTGGGTGCCACCTTTGAGGAAAGACAGTGAAAATCCAGAATGTGTCTGGAGTAGGATGACAAAAAATGCTAAAAATGCTCAAGATAATGATAGGAAGATTACTTAAAGTAGTGTTTCTGCCAAGAGTTCCAGAGGGAGACTTCAGAATGCATGAGATCTTGGATGGGAAAAAAAAAATGAAACGTTGCATCTTTATACTAACTTCTCACTGAAATTTAGCATCTCCTTTTATTTAAAAGTATAGTTCTAAGTAGGGATCTATAGGCTTCAGGAGTCCATGACCCAAAAAAAGTTAAGAGCCTCCTGATCTAGTCTAACCCTTCATTTTGCACACGAGGAAACTGAGGCCCAGAGATTAAGTGATTTGACCACTTGATGATCTCTATGCGCATCCCAGATTTACCTCTATGATGCCATGATGCTATGACTAAGCATCACACAATGAGTTAGTGGCTAAGCCAGCACAAGAGGCCATGTCCCTTTCTGGAAGGCTGCTTTGTGTCAAAGAGGCTCATATGCTATGAAGGATTATCAGACTTGTTCTGTTTGGTCCCAGATAGCAGAATGAAGAGCAATATAGATGGATGGTGCACAGAGAGAGATTTAACCTTGCTGTTAGGAGAAATTTCCTAACTTTTAGAGCTATCCTAAAATAGAATGGGCTGCCTTGGCACAGAGCAGTTTTTCCTACATCAACATCTCCAAGCAAAGACTGACAGATCATTTGTCAGGGCAATTCTTATACAGAAATGGACTGGCCTAGGTGACCTTTGAGGTGCCTTCCAATATACTGAGATTCTGAAATGATCGTCCACTTCATCAATAACTGTAATGAGGTTTCACAGAAAATTTGTTATAAGAAAATATTGAGAACAATCAGAAGAGATACAGACATCCAAAGAGGATTCTTTGCCAGTCTACTTAGCAGGAACTGATATTTTAAGTCCCTATTCTTCTTTGGAGCATATTAGGGAGTTTGGCTCATAAATATTAAGATAGATGTCTTTTTTTTTTAAATCTCTAGGCTAGTCTCTTTTGAAAGAAAATTCAAGATCATCATTGTTATTGCCATTATAAGATTTTGTTATAAAGTCACACATTAATAAGAACAAAAACCCAACAACTTTTCAGCTCCCCAATAGATTCCTCACTTCTGAAAAAGATCCATGCTCTGGGTCTAAGTATTCCCCCTTTGCCATAGGGAAATCTAGTGATCAAACAAAATAGCCACTGTAGAACAGAGATGGGCCTACAAGTACTCTTCAGATTTAAGATTTCTGGGCCTAAATGTATAACATGGTTTGTAGATAGATTGTGATATTTAAAATCGCAGTAATAAAATCATAGAATCATAGCTTTAGAGTTGGAAGGGGTCTTAGAGACCAACTACTTTAACCTCTACCTTTACAGTTCAGGTACTGGAGCCCATAGAAGTAAAATGAGCCAGCCAAGGTCAAACCGACACCAATTAGCTAAAATTCAAATCCAAGTTCTCTGACTCTCAATTAAGAACACTTTCCACAGTAACATGTGGTCTCATAGCACCATTAATAAGGGTGTTGAAAATAATGCTGGAAAACAAATTCAACAGAGGTAGTGTATCGTAGTAGATCTCTATCTAACTAGCCTTGAAGCCAAGAAGACCTGGGTTCAAGTCCTGTCTCTGATGTATTTATTGGCTGTGTGACTTGGGTAAGTTACTCAATCTTTAAGTGTCCCTAGGCAACTCTGTGAGACAGTAAATTGCAGAAAAGCTGCCAACCTGCTATGGTACAGGGAATTCCCTCCCCGGGTGTTCCCTATGTCAATGAAATCACAGATCCAGTTCCGGTGCCTATCCTCATACAAGGCCATTTATCCTGGGAATGTGGCTCTGGTCACCATAAATCATAAAAGTCATAACAAAGCTGTATCATATACAGAGAAGGGCAAAGAAATTGCTCAAGAGGATGGAACTGTCTTCAGGACAGTTTGAAAAGACTGGAACTCTTCATCTGGCAAATGCAAGCTACAAAGAGCCACAGAATGATATTGTGGAATCTAAATTTTGTTACTATCATGTCCCGTATCTGCCGCTGGGCCTCTCTTTTTCAAAAACAGGGAGTTAGGAATAAGTTCAGCTAATATAATTCGGGTGGGCAGCTAAGAGAGGCATCTTGGAAATGGTTTAATTTATTTTTATTCTTCCCATCCTGGGACCCATCATGTGTGTACTCTGGGTAATACAAACCATGACCCTTGGCAATTCAAGAATCGACCCCGCCCAAGGCAAAATGGGAGAAAGTCCTAGGCTGCAATACTAGGAGATTGCCAATGCATCTCCTCTAGACAAAAATAGAAATTCTACTTGCGATCACCCACTCTCCACTCTTAACTATTGCAAGGAATGGCCAGTCTGATAGGGAGGCAACCTGGTACAGTGGAAATAGTAGCACGGGCTCTGGAGTCAGAGGGGCTGGGTTTATATCCTGCATCTTTTGCTTACTACCTGTGTGACCGAGTCATTGAACTTTGTGGGGCCTGTTCTGTTATCTGAAAAATGAGGGGTTTGGACTATGTGAGTTCGTTTCCAGTTTTCTTTGATCTATGATGAAGAATATATCAATCTCCTAAATACCATGGTTAACTGCAGCTCCCACCCAACCCACTGAAGAAATGCCAATACAATCAGGCTCCCATTCCTGTCAGTTAGTCCCCCAAACCCTGGTGCAGGTGTTTCCAGTGAATCCCCCAACATGGTGTTCCCTCCCTCCTACCTCTTCTATCTTCATTATCTGAAATATCTCATCCTTCCTATTAAATCGACACTTTCCTTTTACATTTGAGGACACTGAGGCCCAAAGACATTAAATAACTGGTTTAGGGGTCACACAAGACTGGAGCCAGATTTCCTTTTGATCCAGTGCTCTCTTTATGATGCCACGCTATGTGGAAACACTACAGAAATGTATTTAAAATGTGTGTAAAGTAATAATTATAGATTAGGTGAATATGGAACATATTTGCTAAAACCTCAAGCAGAAATCTATGTATCCTACCAAATAGCCTACTTTAATATATGGTATTTACTGTCATTCAAAGTCCTCAAGAACAGGCTGTTTGGCTACTAGTCAGGACATTTTATTTCCTGCTACTCTTATTTCCTGCTGCTCCACCCTCCAAACCAGATCACTAGAAATCATGCCTGAGATGAGCTAAGCCACTCACCTCTAGACACCTTGGGACCAAAAGTCCCATCTTCACTACGGCCATCTTCAACTCAGTAGCTTACAGCTGTATGGTACCCTCTTCACTACCCCCTCCCTTTTTACCACCTCTTGCTCCAAGAAAGGTAATCAAATTAACACTACGATTGTCTCAGAAAAGGACAAGTCAATGGATTGCCCAATTTTTCCACTTACCATTACTTCTTTCCCTGGCCACAGTGTTATCCAGCCCACTCCACCCCCATTAGAATGTAAGCTCCATGAGAGCAAGGACTCTCATTTTTGTATTTGTACCCCTAGCTCTCAGCATGGTGCTTGACATGTAGTAGTGGCACTTAATTAATGTTTTTGATTCATTCATCCTACAAAGATCATTCATCTTTCAGGGAAGAGTGAGCTGGAGGATCATTGAATTCCCATCCTACTCAGAAATTCTGTTATACTATGACATAACCCTCACGGTCTGTAGTATAGTTTACTGGTGCACTCCAGAAGATGGGCCTCAGAACAAGAGTGTATTGCTGGCATAACTCATTACAGGAAGAGGCACAGGATCCAGAAACAGCTACATTCCTGAGGTCATAGCTAAGAGTGAATCTCCCCAGATCCCTGGGGGAGTGGCAGCAAGGCAAGAACCAACAGCTGCCACAAGAATCAACACCCATTGTCTATGGACAGCCCTTCATGGCACTCAGACCCAGCTGAGCCTGGATTCCTCCCTGAATTCCAGCCATATTATGAACAATGTTGAGTGCTAAGGAGCATGGGAAGAAAAATTTCAAAGTGCCAAGTTTATTAGAGTGAGAGACTATCCCCCTCACATTTCCACAGCAACATCCCTAGAGGCACCTTAATCTCCTTCCCAATAATGCTGGTTCCCAACAGAAAGGAATGCTGAAGAAGTGATGGAGTTTGGAACAAAGTATTTGAAACTCCAGCTCCAAATTGTCAACCTGGGAGCATGGGAACTGATAAATTTCATCCAAGTGGAGCCCCTCGGCTCAGGCTCCTGGGGAGATCTCCCAGATAGTTACATTTCCTTAAAGAAGTGGTTCCCAAAGTCCAGGCCCCACCCCAAATCCCTTTGCCCTATATCCTTATAGTGAGTGTTGGTGTTTGTGTGTGTGTGCATATGCATGCTCGTATGCATGCACCAATGGGCAATGAGTGGAAGGCTTGAAGCTTATGTCCAGTCTTGCTGATTTTTGTTTTCAGACAGGCTCTGTTACAGTGCTGCAGGTGACAGCTCCCTTCCATAGAAGTATCATGTCCATAGGGCCAAGGGGATGCCCCTGAGTAGCAGTTATCTTTGGCGTCCGACCAGTTGTAGTTTGGCAGTCTTGACTCTATGTGCCTCTGACAGGTTCCGCTTTCGAACATCAGAGTTGGTTATGAACTCCACATGTGACAAAGGGAACCAGCCCCTCTCCCCATCTGACAGCCTCATACCCTCCAGCCAACCTGGTGGGAGAAAGGGGGAGGGATGACAGTGTGGGTGTTGGGGAGAGGAATCACCTGGACAGCCTCTCCCTCAGTCTCAGACCTGGAATTTTTTCTCAACCACAGAGTTTCCTGAAATGGAGGCCACCCAACAAGGTGAATCATCTTTACTCCTCCCCACCCACTCTTCCAGCCTGAATACAACAATATTGTTCAGTGATAATGAGTCCTCAGGCGTTTTTTTTTTTTTTTAAAAGGCCTCTCTATTAGCATTTCTACTTACAAACCGCTTAGCTATTAGTAAACCTTCTCCATGAACAACCCTCTCCCTCTATGTCTTATCCTCCTCCTTCATACCCATTCTTCTTACCATCACTGCTGTGCTGAGTCACCATCACCACATCTGCTTTCTCCAGTGCCAACTCATCATTCTCTCGAGGTTTATAAGAACGTAGACACTGAACCTGCGGGGAGTCTAGAGAATAGGGAAAGTGTGGAGGAGACAAAAAAAGAAGATGATTCTGACAGAGATGACCAAAGATGGTTGAGCCTTCCCCCTGAGGCTCTTTCCCTGAGTCATTGCCCAACCACCAGCAGCATGCCTCCTTCCTTCCTCCCGTTAAAGAAATATGCCAAACAGGAAGGAGGACAAGACTCATAGCCATGCCTCAGAATCAGTTCTGACCGTGGTTTTTCTTTACTCTTTCTTAAATAGGCTATATCTGAGAGCAGTTGGAATGATAGATCTTTTTGCTTTCTTAACTGCTGTCACCAGGCCTTGCTTGGCCTCCAGGCATCTTGAATCTCTCTCCTGCCCCAATCTTTTTTGTTTAGGAGTGTCTTTTCATTTTCTCCTTTCCTAATCCCACAACCAGGGTTCATCTTATACTGGAGTGACAGTTCTGGCTCTGTTCCTACTTCTTTCTTCCTTCCTCCCTCTATTTCTCTCCAGCTTTCACCAGCCCCCTTATCCTTACCATGACATGCCAAGAGGTCCAACTCCTCTCTTGGAAGAGCTAAAGCTGAGATCCAGCGAAGCTTTTCACTCCTGGAAAAAGAAAGTGGGGTCACAACTCCATCTGGAACATGAGATGGTTAAGGATGAAGAAGGAGAATAGTAGGGATAAGAATGGATGAAGGGGCACTGGGAGAATGTGAAGACTATCTAGTTACAAGGTGTAGGGTAACTTCTATAAAAATGCCTTCTGGAACTCTGCTTAGTTAGAAGTCAGCCAAGTACTTGAGCCATAATGTTATTTGTCAGTTCCTAATTGCTCAACCTGTTTTGATTCCCATCTTCATTTATGATTATTCCTTCTGGTTGGAGTAACTGTATTTGAAAATGTGGGAATGCAGTCAGACTTTCAATTATACATACACGGGTTATAAACTTTGTTGATTACATATTTTTCCAGCCCTATCACTATTTCCTTAAATACATCCTATGTTCCTGCTTACTTATAATATCTTCTGATCATTGAATACATTTCTAATTTTGTACCTCTATGATTTTACTCAAGCTCTTCCATACACTTGGAATGCCTCATCTCTTCCCTTTCTGCTGTGAAAATTCTACCTGTCTATTAATGCTCAGTTTAGATACCATCTCATCCTAAAAAGCTCCTCTGATGATCCAACTGGATAGGATCTCTCTTCTTCCCTTGTAGTACATCCTAGAGTTAATTTTATGCCCATTTTGGCTTAGGGAATGATGCCTTATTTATCATTGTATTCCCTGAGGTATATAACACATAATAGCTACTCAATGAGTATCTGTTGACTAAAGAAAATGTTAGTTAATAGTGTTTGCCTATCCCTTCTGCATGCTTATGGACAGTCTCCTTCTATAGCTGAATTGGTATATGCTTGGAAATGCAAACTAATGCTATTATTATTATCTAAACAGAAAATTTGATTTTGAGAATAGCAGCAAAAAGATGCTATCAGAAAAGTTACAATTCATTTCAAGTACATTTAGGAAGGTTAATTTAAGCTTTCTGGATTATCCATGCCACTATTTCTATATAATATTGTGGCTAATTGAGAGTTGGCTGTATTAATATTCCCAGAGGACCCTGGTGAAGAGTAAATCACTAAACAAAGGAGATGTACTTGCTCCGGATAACGTTTTTACATAATGTATTCTTAGAAGGCCAGGGCTCCTATACGTATCCAATCAACATAAAGAGCACATGGAGTTATTATCTCCATCTCGAAAGCCCACACTGACCAAAGGGAACTGAGTGTATACAGCATAGATGGACACCCAGAAAGTAAAGCCATTCTGCAATAAAGGGGCCAAGAATATGAATAGTTCTCAAAAGAATAATTGCAAATATTTAACAACCATATGAAAGACTGCTCCAAATTATTTACACGTGAAATGCGTATCAAAACAACCCTTACCTTTTACTTCACACTCAGCAAATTGGCAAAGATGGCATTAAAAGGTAGCAGTCAATATGGCAGAGGTCGTGGAAATACAGGCACATTACTGCACTATTGATGGAGCTGAATTGGCTCAACCATGTTGGAAATAAACTTTGTTGGAGTTATGTAAAAAAAGTAAGTGAAATGTCACCTTTGACCTTTGACCTAGAGATTTCACATATCCTTTAAGGAGGTCAATAGTGAAAAGTAAGATCCTACAGAAACCAAAATAATCATAGGAGTCCATTTTGTAGTATAAAAAAATGGAAACAAGGTAGTGCCCTCTGATTGAAGAATACTGAAATAAGCTGTGGTATATGAATGTAAATGAATTACTGTGCTATAAAAAACAATGACTATGACTGAAACAGAGGGAACATAAACAGAGTTTGGAAAGATTTCTATGAAGTGATCTAAGCAGCTTTGTGAATGTTCTTTAGGTAGGCCCCTGCCTCATCACCACTTCCTACTAATGCCTTCTTTCATTCCCTCCCAGTCACCGATCTCCATCTCACTGAGTCTCCGTGCGAAAGAGGAACTCGGCCTGGGTGCCTTGTGCGTTGTGCCGGAGGAAGAGGCGGAAGAGGTTCTTGTGTGGTCCGTGCAGCTTCATTTCACACTTCTCCCCCCGTACAGATGAAAAAGGGGCATGGTCAAACACCAGGAAGCGGTTCCCCCTGTAGAGAAATAAAGAGTGTCAATCTCATTCCACAGACTTCATTCTTTCTCACTAACAATTCTTAACCCCTCTCCTACAAAGCTTCCTGAACCTGCACATTATTATATGAGTCACAGAATGGTGGTCATTTGACTACACAAATTCCTGGCTAGGAGTCTGAGTCAGGATTAGTTTGGCCTGGGGTTTTTCCAGGGGATCATACTCCACAGGCCAAAGGACTCCAGAAGTTAGGTCTAGGGTATCTTTATAAGTTCTGAGTCAACCCTGATCCCAAGAAGATGGTTCAGACTTTAACCATCTTTCCCTCTCATTTTGAAAATTTAGGCCCAAGTATGAAAAAACCTAAGGCCTGAATTTGATCTGTCAGTCAATTATATAGCATTTATTAAGCATCTAATATGTGTCAGTTGCTTTATAGACTTAGCTAAGCATGGGAGTACAAAGAAAGGCAAAATGAACAAAAAATAAAACAGAAAAGAATCCCTACTTTCAAGGAGCTCATAGTCTAATGGGAGAGACAATGTGCAAATAACTATGTAAGAACAAGCTATATGCAGGATACATTGGGGCAGTCTCAGAGGGAAAGGCACTAGTATTAAGGGAGATTATGAAAGGCTTCTTGCAGAAGGGAATCTTAAGCTGAGACCTGCAGGAAGCCAGGGAAACTAGACGATGAAGATGAGAAGGAACAGCATGCAAGGTACGGGGGGCACTCAGCGGAAATGCTCAGAGTCAAGAGATAAAGCTATTGCAATAGTCTAAGTGTGAGGTGGTGACAGGCCTACACCAAGGTAATGGCAGTGTCAGAGCAAAGGGGAAGGATATAAAGGAGATGTTCTGAAGGTAGAAATGACAGGACATGGTGGGTGAGAGAAAATGGGGAGTTGAGGATGATACCTAGGTTTTGAGCCTGGGTGACTGTGAGGATGGTGGTACACTCAGTAGTAAGAAGCAAGTCAGGAGGAGGTGAGGGCTTAAGGGGATAGATAATAAGTTCACTTTTGGAATGTTGAGCTTAATATGTATGAGGATCACTTAGTTCTAGATGTCTAATAGGCAGTTGGAGGTGTGAGACTGGAGGTTGGGAGAGAGATTAGGGCTAGAAAATAGATGTGAGAGATATGTGCAGAGAGATGATAATTGAATGCATAGGAAATTATGAGATCACCAAGTGAAATGTTATGGAATGAGAAGAGAAGAGGGCACAGGACAGAATACTATGGGACACCATGGTTAAAGGGTATGAACTGGAAGCAGATCCAGTAAAGGAGCCTTAGGAGCAATCAGATAGTTAGGATGGGTACACATTATAGGAGTTTCATTCATTGCAAAAAGTTAAGTTGTACACATAACAAATAGCTAAAGTTGCAAAGAGTTAAGAGACTGAAAATTAAGAATGTACAGAAACCCATTTTAGATGTTTTTCTCAAGGAGTTTAGCCATAAATGGGTGAGTAGATAAAGGATGAAAGCTAAAGGGGATGGACAGATCAAGTGAGGCATTTCTGAAGATAGTGAAGACATGTACATGGTTGTAGGCAATAGGGAAGCAGCCAATAGACATGGAACAACTGAAGATTAGTGAGAGAATAGAGATGATGAAGGGGAGAAACCTCCTAGAGAGAATGGGATAGAATGGAATCACTTCTTAGTGCAGAGAGACTTTGTCTTGGCAAGAAGAGTCACTTCTTCACATGAAACAGAAGTGAAGTAAGAGTTAGTGGCATAAGGTATCTAAATGTGAGATGAGCAACAGGGGAGAAAAGGGAGCTCTCTGTGAATGGCGTATTTTTTCAGTGAACCATAAGGCAAGATTCTAAGCTGGAACCATGGGAAGTGGGGAGGAGTTATGGAAAGTTTGAAGAGGGATGAAAAGCCTTTATGGTCAGTAGGAGAGTGAATTGATTAGGGAGTTGTAGAAGGATTGCTTTGCCACAGCAAGGACACTGGAGATTAGGTAACACGAATTTGCAGTGGACTGAATCAGTCCCCTGGGTTACCCTCATTCCATCAAATAGAATCCAAGAGTCATAGGGTTCTAGAACTAATGCAGCTTCAAGACCTTTTGGATCAAGGTTGATTCAAAATGTTGCTGATTGGAGGGGCCTCCCATTCCAATCTTGGGCACTAAATAACTGAGCTATACCTATACAGCACCACGGGGGCTGTAACCAATCGAATCAAATAGGGGATATAACCAATCAAATCACTGTTCTGAGCTCTGTTTTAATTACTGAATTTCAGCTCTCAATTCTGACTCCATCACAGGAGCTTATTTGATCCTTGAATTTCCTCCCTCTTTTATGACAATGTTTTCCCATATCACCATGAGTTACCAATAGGTCAGTGAAAAGTTTCCTTCCTGGAATATATACCACCCCTCTACCTCTCCCCACCCCCCAGGTCAACTAAAGATGTCATTTCTGCTCCCCCACCTAGTTTCCCTCCCTGTCTTTCCTCCCAGTCACTAACTCTCGAGGCCGTGAT